ATCTGTGGCTGGCATCTTCAGAACACGGCCTCACAGCCCGAAAACCCCACAAAAACCTATTTCTCTGGATTGCTGCAGGGGATGCACATGCCCTAAAGAGAGAAAATTCTGGGATGCAGTCCTGTATCATATTTCATGTGTCACTGGTCAAATCATAAATTTCTGTCCAATTTTGATTTTGCTCTCTATATTTGTTAAAGATAATTCTAAAATAAAACACAGGAAATTGATCTCTTTTTTCCCCATCACCGCTGCCAGATTAGAAGTAGCCAAATGTTGGAAGTCAGATAACCTCGCCATTGATAAGTGGTGGGTTAGAATTTGGACTATGTGATTGATGGGAAAACCTTCTAATATGACGAGACTTTGCAATGGGCAAAAAAGGACCGATACATTTCAGGAAGACTGGATGATCTTTACTGACTATGTAAATCAACATTCCCATCAACTCCAACCTCCTACTTTGCAGATAGATCTCTGGACACTCTACAGCTGGACAAGATGGACTCACTGGCTCTTGCTCAGAATCAATTTCTTTATCTTGAGAACCAACTGTTTATCATATCCACACCCTTGGCCCATGTTATCAATTGTTGTTGTATTTTTCTATATTCCTTTTTGTCATTGTTGAACAGACTATGTATGTTTTATTGCAAAAACTTAACATTTTTTAATTTAAAAAAAAAAAAAGCTGCTTCAATCTTTTGCGACAATGCTTCTACCTTCCCTTCCAGGTATTTCAGAACACAATTCCCATCAGTCCCAATTAGTTGCCTTGAGGCTTGCCAGAAGTCAGGGCAATCATTCAGAGGATGCCATGTTGGCTGATCTGGAAGGATGGGCTATACTTGGTGGAGGCTTACCTGTCCCGCTGGAAGAGGTCTGGGTGAGGTCAGTGCTGCTGTCGCTGGTGGGAGGCGTCTGTTGGGGGGCTTGATGCACCTGGATGGCTTGAACGGGGACTTGCTGAGCCACAGCACCTCCTAGGAAGCAAAAAGGATTGTTCCTTTGATCTCCTGGGATTGACTTCATTTCTATTCATTTCAGTAATAAAATTCCAAGACTTGGAAGTGTGATTCAGACAGTTCCCAAATTCCCATTAGCCAAGCTGTCTGGTGATTTTGGGGAGCAGTAATTCAAAAGCTTTGTAAAATTCATTAGCCATCTTACCAGAACTATCAATATATCACAATTCCCATACGGAACAGCAACTTTTTCAAAACTGCTTTTAACTCATTTACGTAACAAATTTATAAATCACACCTCCACCTGTTCATAGCAATTTACAAAATGCAGATTAAAAACAGCAGTAAAAGCAGAATAAAACAAATACATTAGGACAAAAGAAAAAGATAAACTGGAACATTATATCACAATTAAATCGGAGCCACTTAAGGCATACAAAGTAAATAAATAAATGCTATTAAAGGCTGAACGAAACAATACAAATTTCACTGCCTATCTAAAGCATAATGAAGAGGGGGCTAAATTAACCTTGGTCAAGAGACAGTTTCAGAGTCAAGGTGCTGCAATAGAAAAAGCCCTGTTTCAAGTGACCACCAACTTAACCTCACTCACCAGCAGAGTATAACAACAGGGGCTTCAATAAAGATTGCAAATGATTTACAGATTCACATGGAAGGAGTTGGTCTTTTAGGAATTTTATATTGTTGCCCATAAGAAAAATAAGAATTCAGAAGTAAATTTTTTGCAACTAATGCATAAGCGGCTACAAGCTTCATCATTCTGAGTGATGTACCATCAAAAAAGACCAGTTTTTAAAATCTACATGGGATAGGCATATATCCAAACATTCCTTATACACCTACGAGGAATAAGCATATACAGGTTGAGTCTTCCTTATCTGGAATTACAAAATCCAAAATACTCTAAAAAACGAAATACTTGTCACTTGTCACAGGTGATGGAGACAGTGATACTGTTGTTTTCTGACAGTTCAGTGTACACAAACTTTGTTTCACATGCAAAATTAGTTTTAAAATATTGTATAAAATTACCTTCAAGCTACATGTATAAGGTGTAAATGAAACATACATTAATTTTGTGTTTAGACTCGGGTCCCATCCATCTCCAAGGTATCCATGGTGGCCTTAGCTGACAACTTTTGTCTGAGCATCGACAGGGGTAGTGTGACCCTGTTGGTGCTACTGGACCTCTCAGTGGCCTTTGACACGATAGATCATGACATCCTCTCTGAACGCCTGAGAGAATTAGGAATCGGAGGCATTGCATTGCAATGGTTC